GGCGCGTCACCAAAAGTCGCTCGCTGTTGACATACTGCAACTATTTGAAGTGTCTTTCCTAGGTTTATCATTTATATCTCTTTGATTAGGAATGTATAACTTTAATTACAAATTAATCTTTTGAATGTTATGAATGAGTTTTTTTTTTGTACACACACACACACACACACACACACACACACACACACACACACACACACACACACACACACACACACACACACACACACACACACACACACACACACACACACACACACACACACACACACACACACACACACACACACACACACACACACACACACACACACACACACACACACACACACACACACACACACACACACACACACACACACACACACACACACACACACACACACACACACACACACACACACACACACACACACACACACACACACACACACACACACACACACACACACACACACACACACACACACACACACACACACACACACACACACACACACACACACACACACACACACACACACACACACACACACACACACACACACACACACACACACACACACACACACACACACACACACACACACACACACACACACACACACACACACACACACACACACACACACACACACACACACACATATATATATATATATATATATATAAGATATTGAAACAAAAAATCGAGAAAAAAAATATAGCCTCGCCCTAAGTACCTTCCACTCGTCCAGATATGGGATACATGAGAAAATATATTTCTTAGGAAGAGAGAAGTCAATATCAGTATCTGGTCCACGTCTCTCTTCGATATAGTGATTCAACAGTCCACCATTTACTGAGTGGTCGGTTATCCATCCCAAGGAAACCATAGGCTCATAGGCCTCTATAAATACCTCACCCCTAGCAAGTGAGAGGACATATCATAATCTACATAGAATAACCTAAGCACTATGCTGAGATACATATCCACTCATCTCATGTGGACAGTTCCTCTAAAACTATTGTAACACAACCATACAAGGCTTCTCGCTGTCGCGGGTGTCATACCCCAAATTTACCTTACCCCTCTCAAATTTCATCTGACTTAGACTTTGTACCATTCATTCATTCTCTTCTAATTTAGGGCATGCATTTTCTTTGTAGAATCATTCACTTGCATTCATTCATGTACATTGGTTCAAAAAATCCTTAGATGCATTGGAATTTGGTTGTATGGCTCATAACTAGGCTTTATTTGAAATTAAGGTTTTGAGGTTGTTTTCATCATCATGGTTAGAAATGGCAACAAAACCCATACCCACGGGTACCTACCCAAACCCGCCCCAAAATTGACGGGGAAACCCCACTTTGACTGTGCTTGGGTTTTTCCCGATTACAAAATATGGGGACGGGTCGGGTAATGGGGATACTCAATCCTGAACCCGCACCATTTATTTTATTATGTACATTATTATTTATTTTTGATAATTTAAAATACTAAACATGTGGCCAATATTTTGATATTTTGATTTGTACTTATTACTTAAAATATTTGAAATATATGTATGGAATTTTTTGAAATTATTTTATTTTATTATTCATAATGTAATTTGATTTTGGAAAAAATAAGTATTTCTATTAAAAAATTGATTTCACTAAATGGATGGTGGCGGGGCGAGTATACCAGAACCCGTTTAGGTCGGGTTTGGGTTTTAATTTTCCATCCCTGTTTGAGTTTGTGGCAGGGAACGAGAATTGTTTGGGGATTTGGATTTGGGTTTGAAGGAGGTAATAACAGTCCCTGACCCGCCTCGTTGCCATGCTTAATCATGGTGCAATATCAAAGTGAAGTTATTTAATCAGGAGAGTCCATAAGCTTTGCAAAGGTTTAAAGATGTTGGGAATGTTGAGACACAACTTTGACTTTTTGTTCAAAATCCATTGGTGTTGATTTGGACCTAGGGTTTGGAAAATTATTTTCTTCAAGGAAGATTTGTGGGTTGGAAAATACAATGGATGGAAAGAAAGTGTGGTATCATTTGGAATTATTTAAGGACTTTCTGCACAATTTGAATTTTGGTCAAAGTCAACCATAGAAGGTTGACTTTTGACCAAAGTCACATTTAGGGATGAAAATAGGTCAGGCCAATAACGGAGGCCTACATGCTAGCCTATATAGGCTCAGGCCAGACTTTTTATTTAATTAGAAAAAGCTCAGACTTTTTTATAAGTCTATTTAATTAAAAAGGCTAATTCAAAGGCCACAAAAAAAGTCTTTTAAGTCTATCAAACCGGTCTATTTAAATAAATATGAATAATTTTATTATTATTATTATTATTATTATTATTATTATTATTATTATTATTATTATTATTATTATTATTATTATTATTATTATTATTATTATTATTAATTTTATTATTATTAATTTTATTATTATTATTATCATTATTAATTTTATTATTATTATCATTATTAATTTTATTATTATTATTATTATTAATTTTATTATTATTAATTTTATTATTATTATTATTATTATTATTATTATTATTATTATTATTATTATTATTATTATTATTAGTATTATTATTACTATAGTATTATTAGTATTATTATTAGTATTATTAGTATTATTACTATTAGTATTATTAGTAGTATTATTATTAGTATTATTATTACTATTAGTTTTATTATTATTATTATTATTATTATTATTATTATTATAATTATTATTATTATTACTATTATTATTATTATTATTATTATTATTATTATTATTACTATTATTATTATTAGTTTTATTATTAGTTTTATTATTATTATTATTATTATTATTATTACTATTAGTTTTACTATTATTATTATTATTTTTATTATTAGTTTTATTATTATTATTATTATTATTATTATTATTATTATTATTAGTTTTATTATTAGTTTTATTATTATTATTATTATTATTATTATTATTATTATTATTATTATTATTATTGTTATTATTATTGTTATTATTATTGTTGTTATTATTGTTATTATTGTTGTTATTATTATTGTTATTATTGTTATTGTTGTTATTATTGTTATTATTGTTGTTATTATTATTGTTATTATTGTTATTATTGTTATTATTATTATTATTGTTATTAATGGTTATTATTATGGTTATTATTATTATTATTATTATTATTATTATTATTATTATTATTATTATTATTATTATTATTATTATTATTATTATTATTATTATTATTATTATTATTATGGTTATTATTATTATTGTTGTTATTATTATTATGGTTATTATTATTATTATTATTATTATTATTATTATTATTATTATTATTATTATTATTATGGTTATTGTTATTATTGTTATTATTATTATTATTATTATTATTATTATTATTATTATGGTTATTATTACTATTATTATTATTATTATTATTATGGTTATTATTATTATTATTATTATTATTATTATTATTATTATTATTATTATTATTATTATGGTTATTATTATTATTATTATTATTATTATTATTATTATTATTATTATTATTATTATTATTATTATTATTATAAATATTATTATTATTATTATTATTATTATTATTATTATTATTATTATTATTATGGTTATTATTATTATTATGGTTATTATTATTATGGTTATTATTATTATTATTATGGTTGTTATTATGGTTATTATGGTTGTTATTATGATTATTATTATTATTATTATTATGGTTATTATTATTATTATTATTATTATTATTATGGTTATTATTATTATTATGGTTATTATTATGGTGTTTGTATTTTAAATTAAAATAAAAAAATAAAGTTTATATGTCTAGGACTTATGAAAATACGTTGAAAATAACTTTATGAACAATGTCATAAGTTCTTTTCATAAGTTCTCTCAAACAAATAGTATCACAAAATATGTCAATAGATAAAATCAAATAAGTCACTGCAAATAAACATCTAGTCTAATTAATCATTTAATTAGTTAGTCTATTTTAACATTAGTTGAATTGCTTATTTGAAAATGTTCAAATAAAATAGACTTTTACGTAGGCTGATAGGCCAATAAGGCTTTTGAAAATGCCAATCTCAAACCTAAAAACAAGCCTTTGGTAGACCACAGACCTGGCTTAAATTTTGAAATTTTTAACCGACCAGACTCAGGATTTGCAAAGCCTAGCTCCACTAGTCACATTTCTCTTGGCCTCATGCTTGGTTATTACTTCATTTAAGGTGAAAGCATTCGTTTTGATTACTTAAGCTACAAGAAATAAAAAATCAACATTTTGCTGAAAAGGTCAAACTTTTAAAGGTCACATTCCATTACATGCTCAAGAGTTAAACTCATTACAAAAGCCACATATTGCTTACATTACGAGCCATTACAAAATAGGAAGAAACATCTGCAATGGACTTTTTGGTCAACAGTTGACTTGATGACCATTGACTTTCAAGACCTGCTAAATTTCTAATCTATCTTCATCTCTTCATACACCTTCATGTTGCCAAAATCCTGCAGTAACATAAAGCTCCAACGCCATGAACCTCCAGTAGTATCAAATCAAACATTGTATCAACCTGCACATACATTTCAGAACATCAATCATATACCACACCATCTTGCCATGATACAAACCTCCGGTAGCCTAACTAGGAAGCCTGCTGCACCAACCCAATGCACAAGTCCTTCTCGCCAACTCCATCCATGAATCCTCATCATGAGCATTCTTTCATCCATGATTTCACATACTTTCTATTCTTCATATGCCCAACTTGCATCAGTCTAAATGCATCTCAATCCAACTCACACAAGTCCTGATCAAAGAAGAATGCACAACCTGCACAACAATGCTATATCAGAACAAATTGCAAAACACCAATTCACAAGTTTCATAGCCAAGCTATGGTATTCATTATTACAACAACGTAATACAAGGAAGCATGAACAATTCAAATCATACAGTACGTACATGGAAAAAAAATCATGAATGGACTTGAAGAATTAACTAATGCAGATGTTAGTGTTTCATTGAATGAAGTTTCTAGAAATCAAGCTTATCCTCAAGAAGATGCTACATCACTATACCAAACATTGCATGATGTGCAAACAACAAAGCATACATGCAGCAGGCTAGACACATGCTTACATGCACCAAGAAAAAGAGTCATACTCAGAAACAATTTCATCATTTATAAACAGATGCAACCTAGGTTTTAAACCATGTTCAGCTTCTCGAAGGTTTAAACAAAGTCTATAAGCAGGTATACACACATTCATCATTTCATCATTCATCAAATAAGGGCAGGCCAAAAGGGAAAGAACGATCATGATCAAAACAAGGTTCAAGGTTGGCTAAAATCTTAGTTAAAAACATTTTGCATCAAAAACAAAAATCCAACATATACATCCAATGTTCAGGCTCAGGGAAAGTGTTATGATGCACTTAAAAATGGGCGCATGGTAAATTCATGAGCAGTTCATCACAGACTCAGATGATCAAAAATATATATTACAGTCGTGCAAACGTAAACCAGAAGTAACCATCTGCTACATCAGCCAGAAGTAACCTGCAAACACTCGTCATGCATGTGAACAAACTACTCAAATAAAGGGTGCCATCAACTCATGAAAACCAAACCACAGGACATTCCATCAATCATGCACATGATCATGACCTGCTGCTGCGACTTCAATGCTATAGATGCCTGTAAGGAGAAAACATGCCATGTAATGCAATGTTCAAAACAGGCAGGAAAAGTCACTCAAAAGGTTAGAGAATTTCAATTGTAAATTCATTGTACATAGACCAATACCATGCAGTCATGGCAGTCCAGTACACCATCATATTTCAAGTGTAGAGGCATCAATGCTTATCCAACCATGAGTTCACATAATCATAAAAAATAGGGTTGCACATTCAATATAAAATCAAGGCAAAATCTGGAAGCATGTAAACGAGGGACCAATACAATCCTAACACCACCATGCATAGCCTAAAAACAAGATGGATTGTATATACACATACACCATTACTCTATCATCTACATGAGCTTAACACAATCAAAAAAGCCTAACAAATTTCAACCATCACCATATAACATTCACCCCGCACATGTTGGAGAATTTTCATCAAACACATAATGTCCTAACTCATTCATATTGCATTAACTAACCTAACTAATAGTCATAAGCCTAACTAACTACCTCTGCCACGTGGGCAGCGGTGTGACTTTACCCAATTGCCACTCACTCAAAAATTCCCTACAAATCTCATTTGAATCACCCAATGCCTTAAAATCCAACTAACCACTCAAACTAACTCAATAACCAACATTTCAAACCTCCAGCTTTCAATTAACAAACTCCAACCAGCTCTGCCACGTGGAAGAGGCCAATGACACATTTGCCATTCATTTTCCACTTTACCCCAAATTAACCCTTAAGCCCTAAACAACTTTTCCCTCTCTTTTCTTAAACCCCAACTAACTTCCAAATCAAATCAATATTAACCTTCCAACATCTAACCAACTCCTATTGATCCAATGGCCATAATCATTTCTAAATTCTAAATAAACCAAACCTAATTCTTTCACTCATAAGCAACCTTTTCCTCACCAATTCTGAAAAATTATCTCAACCAACCTCACCCAAAGCTCCCCTATTTCTCCACCTCCATCAAAGCTTCTCATTGAAGATTTAATGGAGTGAGCTTAGACATCACCATTAATCCTCCTCTCAATCTGTGGCATCTACATCATCTCTCTCAATCTTAATCAAAACACTCTGCAATTCGTGTCACATTCTACTCTAATCTCTAATCATCAGCAACATACAACAACAATGGCAACCTAATTCTACAAACAGTTCAAGAAAATTGAAGAAAAAAAAGCAAAATCAGAAGGGGAATAAGAGGACACGTGGAAGAGCAGTATCCCCGCTTTCTTCATCTTTTTCTTCATCCTTGATACCATAAGGAAGCTTGAACCATGCTGAACCAAACCCCCATGCTTGCTTCCCTTAGTTCTTGGCCACCATCATTTAATTTTAATTCTCAGACTTAGGGTTTGCATGAACCCGTGGTTAACTGAGAGGCTTTAGGGAGGTTTCAGAGGAAATGAGGTTTGGAAATGAATTGAGGATGATAAGAAGGTCACAATGATGGCTTCGTTTTAGATGTTCATGACTGAGCGCCGCCAGAGGCGATTCTCGGCGGCCGCGCCGGAAGGCAGTGTGAGTAAGAGAGATCGAGAGAAATCCATGAGTGAGCTGAGTTTTCCCCCATCTGAGCTTCGTTCTGGGCCTTTGCCCTAGAGACTTCGATAAGCCCATTCAAATTGCTAACCCACACCCCTTCTTTGACACAACACCAAAACAACAACAAAAGCTGGAAATGGGCTTCTGTTTGTGTGGCACATGGACATTTTATTAAATTTAGTTAATTTTCCCTTAATTTTCTTTAGTTTCTTAGGTTTTTTACATAAGAAATGATAAAAATAATGGGACTTTAGTGGACTTTATCTTAGAATTTGGAGTTTGTTTAAAATTAAATTTTCTCTTAATTCCTTTACCATTTTGATCACCATTATGTACCATTTGTAAGCCAATATTGTGTTGTAATTTGTGGTGTGATTATTGTGGTATGTCTTGATGCTTAGGTAGAAATTACCTTTAGTTGCGACTTTCGATTGCACGCTCTCTTAGGATTCATTTCATTCAATTTAATTAGATCATTTAATTTGATTTAAATTGAATTAGAGGTAGACAATAGGTTTAAACTTTTGCATGATAATTTTAGGTAGAATTTCCCCTTGAAAACCCCTAATTTCAGGGTCCATCATTCCCTATATTTTGCATATCATTTTCTTTTACTTGTTGCATTAAAACAAAAATTCATTTTCTTAAATAAATTCAAAATACTTTTAAAATACGAGAGAAATCGTACGCCATTGAGCCTTAAGCAATAGAAAAGAATGAAAAGGTGTATTCCTAACCTTGTTCTTCTTTTTCCATTTGTAGACTTTAATATGATTCAAATCACAAACAATTTTCAAAATTATAGGTAGAAAAGGAATTGGTTGTGTATTCTTCTCAGTTCCTTGTGTAGCTAAGTGCCCATAACATGAGGGACCATTTACTATCCAGCCTCTAACAAAGCACTTCAACAAACCAAAACCTTTTTGCCTAAGGCCTTTTCACTCAAACCCTTTTCAAAAGGACAAGTTATTTATGTTCTACCGCAATATAGGTAACACATAAGTCTCCACACAACGAGCAATAACACCTAAATGCTAGAACATGAGCGTTAACATCGTTCACTAAAAACAACTAACAAACAACCATTTTCTAGACGAACTACAAAGCTCTTATTTCCTTATTTCACTATGAGGATACATATGCATGAGGTTTCGAAACCGAGGTGAGCTCACTAATTTAAAACTTATTTCCCCCCTTATCATTCATAACAAGTAAAGTTTTAGATACATGACACGCTTAGATATAAACAAACAAAGTGGATCCCGTTAAGTACAATAGATATGAGGGGAGCTAATACCTTCCCCTTGCATAATCGACTTTTGAACCCGAATTTGGTTGTGAGACCATTTTCTTTACCTTTTGGAGTTTTCTCGATATTTCCCCTTCCCTTTGGGATAAATAAAGTTTGATGACGCTATGTGTTTTTTCGCGTAGCGACAGTTGGCGACTCTGTTGGGGAAAGCTAAGCAAGTTAGTCCTAGCTTTGTTTGTTCATTTTTTTGGGTGTTTACTTTTGTGCTTTACTTTGTTTACTTATCATATTTATTGCCTTTATTGTACTTCATTATTCATATATTTTGGATATCTGCTGTATTATTCTCTTTGTGGGATGGGTGATACTATTGAAAGATAAGTCCAATATCTAGGATTGAGTACACACACAAGATATAGTGGATAGTCATGTCGCCTATTGGGTGGATACCTTACTAGTGCGACACTGGAGCCACACCCAGACTAGGTCTACTTGGGGGTACTATTGTCATGCGTGTATTTGTTACGACACTATGCTTTCACTTGGACCCACGACTCTGGGGACCTTTTAGGAACCACTTTTTCAAGGCTAGCACCCATGTGTAAGATGGATATGGGTTTTGTTTTGCAGGAAACCTAAACTTTCATCCTACCCTGTGTTCTTATATTCAGAAAAGCGTCGAACCTTTGAACCTGCAATGTTCAACCCGCTTTGAGAATCACATACAGTTGTTATTCAAAAGAAGCATCAGACCTTTGAACCTGATATGTTCGACCCGCTTTGAGAAACATACAATTATTATCCAGAATATGATGGATCATTGAACCAATGACATTGCATATCATAATATCACATTGTACCTCAAAAATGACCATATATATGCATAAAACCTTTGACAGTCTCTTGCATCCATCCATGCATCCATTCCTTGTCATGCATTTCATACAAAAATGATATGCTAAGGGCATGGACTTCAACATGAACATGATTTGCTAAGGGAAGAGGTCAACCAGATAAAGGTCCAAATCAAACTGATCATGGAAATCTTGCAAACATTATTGAAGAAGGAAGGAAAACTTGCACCAACTACTGCAGCAAAAATGGTCAATCCTTCCTCTTCTTCAGGGCTCACTTCAGGTCAGGAACTACCTCATGGTTATCCTCCTCAACTTTGGGTTATAGAACCTCCCTGCCAACAACCTATGCCTTAACCAAGTCAGGGGGATCAGGCACCAGAATAAAATTGGCTCTCGAAAAAGCGTCAGCAACAGGATTGCTTTCTCCCAACATAGACAACAAAGACAAAGGAGGCCAAAGAGTGTTCAATCTAGTCCCTATGCCTTATGGTCAATTGCTACCTCATTTACTCAAGGGTTCCTTAGTAGAGTTAAGGCAATTTAGGCCTCCTCCTATCCCGTATCCTTTTGGCTATGATCCCAATGCCATGTTTGACTTCCATTCAAGGGCACCTGGCTAAACCATCTGATGATTAACCGAATTGTGATTCGGCCATTTTAGTCATACTTTGTTATTTTTATGAAACTTGTGATTATAAACAATATTACAAGATATAATAAGTACATGAGCTCAAAGGTCTAATATGATTTGGGACAAAATTGTAACAATGAAAAATTTAAAAAGAAGTTGATGGAAAGGATAGAAATGAGGCACCACACTCTTTCTATGAGTTAGAAAAGATGATAAGCCTAAGTGAGTATCGCCACAAGAAACTTGGTTTCTTGATAAGATTAAAATATGGTCCAATCCAGAACCAAATGAGCAATGCTCTCAAAATCATACAAAGTGTTTGTTTAACAAAATTCAACTTGATTTTTCATTCATGATTTGCTCCCTATTTATAGTTAAAGGGTAGCTTACAATAATAACTTAAGAAACTCTACAACTTCAGCCCACTAACTTATCAATAATGGTTTGGGAAAGAAAGGTCACACACTTAAAGGTAGTGGAGAAAGTCGATATTCATTGCCTTGATGATTAATAGCAATTTATGGCCACTTTGATTAATGCATTCCACCTTTCTATTTCTCCCTCCTTCAAAGCTTGACCTATTGACTTCTTTATCCCATAATTTACTTAGTAACATGAAAACCCATGAAACTCTTAATCTTTAAGAGCTTTAGAATGTTTAAAAAACACACAAAAATTAAATAAATAAAAACAAGTGTTTTGGGCCAAAATTTGACAAGACGGACCTTAACATATTTTATTATAATATAATTGATTAAAAATATCAAAATGGGTCAACAAGGCCATATTACATGCCCTCTTCATTAGATTGGGCCAAAATTACAAGTCTTAGCCCATTTCCTTTCAATTGGTCCCTTGCTCTCGTTGGTTTGTGCATAAATTGTATTAGAGCACCGTTGACTGTCCTAGCACGTGCCCTTGTCATAGAACCTCCCAAGATTTATATTACTTAATTTAAGTCTTGGTTCTCCATGTCCTCATTAGAGCTTGATACAAGTGAATATTAACTCATAAATCTATGTCTAGAGTTTGTTCATTGATAGATGAGTATCTTAGGTCAAGGTTTGAAAAATGTCTCTTAATAGTGATTCAAATCATGAATATGATATTAAAAGCAAAAATATTAATCTATATTTTTCATCACCTTAGTTCACATACAAAAGATCAAAATAAATACATAGTATATAGGTTAACTACCTCTAATCTTGACACAAAAGGGGTTTAGCTACGCATAACCATGATTGCTAGTTTGATCAACAAGTAAAGATGATGAGATGATAAAGCGTCAATAAAGATTCCTCGACAATTGATGCATAAATTAGCTCTGATTCTTCACTTTTGAGCTTCTACAGTGTTTTTGTGTTATTTCTCTCTCTCTCAAAGGGGGTAGCATCCCTAAAATATCTGATTGCATCTATTTATAGAGTGTCCAAAAGTCGTAGACTGCGCTTAGCCCGATGTAGCCCGCTAAGTGCACTCCCACTTAATACATCAAATCGCTTTAACGCGTGTTAAGCGCCCTTAGATCAGGCTTAGCACACAAGTCTCTACCCTGGCTTCTCCCATCGCGCTAGCATCGCGCTTAGCCTGACCTCAGCTTGATTTTCTCCTTCAAAATTCATTGGAAGCCATTCCTTAGCCCTATCTTGTTCAAGGTTCTCAAAAGGTAAGCATATTGATAGTGATTCTAGTGATGGTGAAGATTTAAATTGTCACTATGGTTGCAAGAAAGGCCACAATATTGAAAAGTTCAAATTTAGGAGTCTTTTGGTTCCTAAAGGTGTTTTTCAATGGTTGCATAAATGCAACCAATTTTTCATTAATACTTAAGGACCCAATGAAGATTGGGTACCTAACTTGTCTTGTTAATTTTGTAGGAAAATTGTCTGGACTCTTTGAAGAGAATATGGGTTCTCATTTATGGTGGCTCAAGGAATTTGATGGGTAACATATTCTAATCATATTGTATATGTGGCAAGAAGATGGATTATGAGATTTAGAAAACAACAATAAATTTTGTTTAATTGGTAAAAGATTCATAAATTAGTTTTGATGTTGTATCCAAGAATACTCAGAATAGGTATTTCATTTCATGATGTAGGTGTATCTTCAAGAGACATACTCAATGACACCGAAGAAGGAATTGGTCAACCCGAATCAGTGAAACATGAGAATGATAAAGATAACTATCATGAAAAGGATAAAGATGAAAGTTTAATCAAAATGAGTAATCATCAAATCAATGACCTTCTTGGATTCATCACAAGTTATACTCTTGGGTACTTTGTCAAAGTAAAAGTGGTAAGATCATGGGTTTCTAAAGTCCTTGTGGAAT